TGCATACAGCGGAAAAAACAAGCACCAAAAATTTCTGGAGGCTTTAATAAAACTAATTAGAGGGGGGAACACGTATAGAAAAAACAAAGGGAATCCCTGCTTTATAATTCTGAAAGTGAGACCTCAGCCCTTCTCTGCCATGGCAAAATGTCAGACTCTCGAGGTTTGCGATTTTTGATCGACTCCCTCAACTTCTTTTTTAAATTGCGTTGATCTTAGCAGGGACCTTAAACAAAAAGAATATGGGAAAAGTCCTCTCTGGTGAGGAAATGTTGCAGGATTTGGAGGCGAATATTAAAATGAAGGGTTTTGCCTAAATCCGGAGTTTGGAGTCGAATTGTATCCTGTGTCTATTCGGTGTGTGGTTTATGAAATATCTTTACAGCCACAGCTGTCTTTCTATATAAGACCAAATGTAGTAGCATCTACTTATAATTATAGGACAAAATATATCCGCGTAGCTTTCCACCTTATTTTCCTACTAGTTTAGACACCTAATTAATCATAGCATCTCCATGACCAATTATAAACCCTTGGTTTTCCCCTGACACTTTTGCTTTTCCAAACTCCACAGTTTGCTTTTCTCGGCAAAAAAAAATTCCAGAGGTCACCCCCGACCCCCCGCAAAGTATTTTCTGCAGAAGAAAGTTCTCTGCGCGTTTGATTTTCTGCGTGTTGCAACGTATTGCAGGCGGGAAGGGTTCGTTAGAGATTCCCAAATTCACTCTAGGCTGCAAAGTTTGTAAGCGGGAGAGTCCCGAAGTTGCTAAGCACTGGGGCGGGTGGGGGTTCCCTCACTTCTCCCCTCGGCAGTGCAGGTTGGAAGGGATTCAAGGCCTAGAGCTGATAGGATCGATCGGAGAGGAGGCCTAGGGTAAGATGTTATGTGTTAAACACCTACCCACTGCGGCAGGCAGCTCGCTCTGCATACGCCACCCCGACGGTTTCCCCCTCTGTACGTGGACAAACCACCTTCTCTTTTGCTTCTAAGGTCAAAGGGATTTTAGTTTTGGTCCAAGTTTTTTGGAAGCATCATTAGAAGAAAACAGTGTTTCTTCCCTTTCATCGCGGGAGCAGAGAGCCGCTCTGAGATTTTCTCCCTCTGCCCTCATCAAAATGTGGCATTACAAAAGAAAACTTTTGTGTTCGCGTGGAACAAATCTGCCTCCTTATCACATTTTTTGAAAGCCCCCTTTTGGGGAGTGTTGATTTCTCAGCAACTAGCAGAGCCAAGCCAAAGGCCAAAGAAGCAGATTTGCTCGGAGAACGGGGTGGTTGTTTTTTGTTTTGTTTTTTTAAATCTCTTCTGTACTAAAAAAAATAAAACAGCCCCCAAACCTCGAGGCTATTTTTGGAACGAGAACTGAAATTCGCTTTTAGTTTCTTTGGTGCTGTGGTGGCAGGGGAGGGCTGCAAAGTGTCTCCGCTTTGAAACACCACGTTTGGGGGCCCTGATCCGCAAGGGGGGGGGGATCCGCGGGGTACGTGGCCTGTCTCCCTCCCCGCAGCAGCCCGCAAGCCCTGAACTTTGCTGGCCCTGGCAGGCCCGGGCTACCAGCTGGTTAGAGAAGCGGGTGCTCCGGCAGCTGGCATGCAGGCTGGGGGCGGGGGAGAGGCGGGTGTGCATTTCGCACCGGAGGGGGCCGCGCTCCGTTCCCCCCCCGGGCCCTGCCGGGCCAGCTCAGGCAGGTGGGCATGAAAACACAGCGGGGGGGGGGGGGGGGAAGGGCAGCACCGCAGGGTGCGCAGCCGGGGCTTGATCGCGCCTCTGCTGGGCGTCACTGCCAAGTTCAAGTCGGTGCGGCTTGCAGTCCTCTCCGCCCCTTTCCGAGCGGCCATTTTCCGCTACATCCAGCTCTTCGCCTGCTGAGCAACCCTGGGCTGCGGAGAGCTGCCCCCCCCTCCCAGCACCTCGGGGGAGGGGGCGGGGAGGAGTGGCAAAGAAACTTCCCCAGCAATAACCATCTCCCTCCCCCGCCTCCCCCCCCCCCCGACGATACAGCATGAAACTCTGCCTCGCAGGCAGCTCCTGGTCACTTCTGCATCCCTCCCCTCCCGGCTGCGTCCCCAGCCTGCACCTTAGCAGGGCAGCCCCCCCGCAGCCCAGACCCATGCCGGGCACATCCCCCCATCTCCCCTCCCAGCGCCCCACGCACCTGCTTTGCCATTGCGGGGCAACCAACAGACCCCCGCCGCCCCCACCCGTCAACTTTTGCTGTTTGGTCCATCCACCGAAGCGGGGAGGGGGGAGGTAGCAGAGAAAAGGAAACTGACAGGGAACCTACCATCGCCAAGTGAAATTAACGAGGCTCCAGACCAAGTTGCAGCCAATGGAAAAGGGAGAAAAAAAATCTACAATTTGTGTTTTCCACCAACAAAAAGAGAGAAGGAAAAAACCCAAAGTGTCCTCAGAGTTGGCTCATGTCTCCGGCTCCTTCTCGCTCTGAGCGCCCATGTCAGTGTCCCCAGCGTGGCTCGGGTGTATTGTTATTTTGGTTGTGGGCTGTTTGGGTTGTGTGTTGGGTTGGGGCTGGGCCGAGCGCGCACACACGGGCATCTGCTCTCCGGTCGGCGCGGCGCGGCTCCCGGCTCAGCTCAAGGAGGTGCCTGGCGCTGCGTGAGTCAGGAAATGGTCCTAAGCCCCGAGGCCGGAGGGGAGGAATCGCAGCCGCTTCCCAGGGTCCCCCAAGGCGCCTGTGACAAGTCTCCTCTCGGCGGAGCGGCGGCGGCGGGTCGGTTCTTGTGACTATTGGGAGGCCATCGCCCCCTCTGCAGCTATGGGAAATAAACGCTCACATCTTCCCCTCCCCCCCCAACACCAACTCCGGACGGGCATCGCTCCGGATTGCAGCCGCCCGCCGGCACCCCCCCTTCCCCATCGCATCCCTCCCCTTCTCTCCTCCCCCCGCCGCGCCGCAGCCTCCTCCTCTTCCTCCTCCCCCTCGCCAGGACACCGGGCAGAGCCGCACGGGGGGATCCCTCGCCTGGTGGGGGCGGGGAATGGGGCTTCTCCCCCCCCCCGCGCCAGGGGGGCGAGCCGAGGCGTCCGCTGAGCCGCCGCGGGATGTCGGCGATGGTAGGGGGGCGGCGGCGGAGCAGGGGCTGTGCCCGCATCCTAGCAGGAGCCCGCAGGCTAGACCGAGCCGGGGGGGGGGGGCGGTGAGTGTGAGCCGCCGTGTCACCGCCCCGTGCATCCCCTGCCGGGCACACGCACACCTGAGCGTGCTGCAGAGGGTGCGTGGGACACACACCGGCTTGGGGCTTGCACGGCCACTGCAGAGCGGATTGCAAGGGGCAGTTACATGGGAGGGGGCAGGACTCCCCTCCTCCCCCCCAGCTGTAGAGGTGACACACAGCTGGAGAGTTCTGCATCACAGAGTGACCCCCCCCATCAGGACACCCCTCCCCCTTCCCTCAATCCTCCCCCCCCATCACTTGCTTAAAGCTGCACACACCCATTTTAAAAACGGAGAGTCTGGTGCACTGGATCCGAGTTCCCTAGCAGAGCAGACCCCCCCCCCCTTATAGCGCGGGTGTGTGTCTGAAAATACAGCGTCAAACATTAACCGCGGCCTCCATTAACTCCAGCAGAGCCCTGGCATGCACCAGTGGGCAAACGATTGACTTTGAAACGTGCCTGCGAACTTCTGAGTGGCTGGGAGGGTGAAGGATTAAAGGAGTGAGCCAAGCTAGGGAGTCAAGAAATAACTGCCTGGGGCAGCCACATGTCCTGGGCTGTCCAGGGGCCTGCTTCTCAGCTGTCGCTGGCTTCACCTGCGGCCCCGGGTACTCAGCACCTCTGCAAAACAGGCCCCACGACAAGTGGGGTGAGTGCAAAGAGAAGGGTGTGTGGGACACATTGTTGATTCCCACCTGCCAGAAAGTGAGGGAAAAAGACTGACCCTTTAGTTAAAATCATATGCCAGCTGTTCTGCAGTCTGTGATCCCACCTTTCCCTTTGACTGCTGAATTATGTTTTTTTCTTAAATTAATGATCATTTGAATGTTCCTACAAACTAATAATATTTAACTCAAAGCAAAGTTCCTTTTGGGTGATAGTTTCCCATTAGGGGCTAACTGGGTTCACAGTACTCTAAGGTGATCAGTGACTTATCTCCAACCCTTTGGCACAAATTTAACAGCAGATTGACTGGGATGGCCAAAGGACTGCGGGCTTGTAAAGTTACACATTGGATATGGTAAAAAAGTTACACTGCCTCCAAAGAAGTGACAGTCTGGAGTTTACCTCTCTAGCGCCATATAAATATTAGATGTCATTAAAACATATTTAAAAACCTATTTTACACCAACATTCATTATTTACTTATCTATACGGGTAATATACAAAGGTCTACTGTGAGTGAAATATTTAAATATGTAACCCTCTCAGGCATGGACCTGTATTTTTAACCCATCTTTCTGTTGCAGTAACACAATCAGCAAAAGCTTTTTACCTCTTATAACTCACCCTATTTTTTTTATATAAAGGCAACGAACTGGGATTTTTTTTCAATGTCGTGGAGCTTAAATGTACTGTGGATGTGTATATTTTTATATATGATACCTACAGAATACTTAACAAATAGTACCATCATCTAGTGTTATTTCTCTGGTCAAAGGATCCGAACATGGTAAAACAGACTAAATAAATTGCTTGTATTTGTTTATAAAATTACAGAACGCTGCATAGGCACTATTTTTTAATTTTTTAATTTTAGAGTTTGCTGCCTTCTTTTTTCTTTTTCTGTGCAAAATGGCTCAGAGAGCACTGATCATTCTTAATAGGAATCACATCGATTTTAACAGGGATTTGGTATAATCTGGAGATTTATGCATGCACACATCTTCTCCATAACCCATGAAAACACATACTAAGAGATTGTATATTACATAGAATAATCTGTGTATTGCTATCTTCTATATTTTATTGCTGTTCAGTTTGTTTGTGGTCTGTTTAAGCACAGAATTTGCCTTATGTAAATGAAGATCGAATTTCGCTTTTATTTTCTATCCAAAAACATTTATATTTACAAGCCGAATTTTTTTTTTAAATCACCATCTGCTCCCTAACAAAAAGTCACTTCCCTGTTTTGACTATAAACAGCCTCCTGGCTGAAATAAGTAATTGATTTGCACTGTACCAACTAAATAAATCTTGTGGAAGTTAAACCTGAAAGTGACTGTTGCTTTGCTAAGGAGACTATAGTTTTTATTTTATGCATTTAGCACCAGGAGAAACTAAGAAAAAAATAAACATCGAAAAGAACTTGCCAATGTCTTAATGGTTCCGACTCAGCAGTTTAGTGGCTGTGTTGGGCACAGTGTTAGAAGTTTGAATTTCTTCCCCAAATGGTTTTATATTATCGTTTTGTACCACGGTAGCTCCTAGAAGCCCAACCCAAGATTGTGCTGGGCACTTTCATTATCTTTTTATGTTCTGGGGGAAAATTGGTATTCGCACCTACACACCACACAGATCTGGTTTAATAAAGAGTGGTTATTCTCAGGCCAAATCTGAGACATAAAGGGAAAGTACTCAGCAGTTCTGAAAGTTCCCAAGGTGAGAGGCACTGTATCAGCAGAAGTATGCCGTGAAATACACACACTGGGTGTTTTTAATACCAGTTGGCTTTTCTAAGCATATCAGCAGCAGGGGTCATGAAAAAGAGGTGTCACTTGTGATCACTGGCAGGCTGGGATCTTCAAGACTTGTAAATGTAGGGACCAGCCTGCTCGAGTATGCGTCCAAGGGACAGAAGGGAAATATGAAAGGATCTGCAAAGGGGGAAAAATGGGTTTGTGCCTTTTTTCCCCTTCTTCTTTGAAGCTCTGCCAGATTTTTGTGTATGTGTCTCTGTGTGTATAATCAGGAATGCCAAAGCTTGTCTCCCCCTCCTTTCTCCCTAGTGTTAAAAAATGTTTGGATGATTCAAAAGTGGGTGCTTTTTCACCCCTAAATTGGAAGGTTGGGAGTACTGGATTTTCAAAGGGACCTCATCTCACAAGTATGAGAGTTAAACAAGTGTTAACAAAACCCAGAGGATTTTAGACAGGCCACATTGAAATCCTCCCCCCTCTCCCCCCATTAGTCAGATTTCCCACACCACAGTGATAGGTGCAGTGTTAGATCCTGAATAAAAAGGGAGAAAAAACTGAAAATGTGTTTGTGCAACTCCTCTCCCTATTTTTGACCCACTCAGATATATAAATCTATTAATTATTATTATTGTAGCACTTAGAGGCCCCTACCAAGGCCAGGGAGCCGCCGTGCTGGGTATATATTAGTACCGGACAGTCCCTGCCTCAAGGATCTTACTATCGAAGGCCCTGGTCCTGCAAAAATTGATGTTGGTGCTTAATTGTATCTGCTGTATGTTGTCCCATGGACATGTCAAATGAAGCAGGAGTAAATCTTGGCAGAATCAGGGCTAAAATCCAGGTCTTTGTTCAAGTTTAGTCCTCTGTTAGCTCAGCCATAGGCCTTCTCAAGGTAGCTGTGCCCTTAATTACTAATATATAATCCCAGCACAAAAAGAGAACATATTTCCCCCAGATCCCTTTTTAGGCCTTCTCTAAGGAAGCAGAAACAGGCATGAGCCCAATTCAATTTTTTTTTTTTGCAGGTCACCATAATGCTTAATATAAAATAAACAAACAAGCATTTGGAGTTGGAGTTTCCTCTCACTGAGGGTGTTTTTACACCAGCTTAGCTCCATAGTTGAGCTGTTCCTGATGGACACCAAGAGCAGAATCAGGCCTTTCGTTTAAGTGTGAGAGTTTATGTGACAGCTGTCAAATCAGAATTGGCTTTCCTTCGCCAGAGCACCTCTGAGCCACCTCCCCAAATGGGATCTACCTGGAAATACTCTAGGGGGGAAATTCGCCTCTGCGAAAGGCCTATGAACTACTTAAGTCCCACTTAAGCGATATCTAGGACTTGTGCTGGCACAAGGATGAATTTTACCCAACAGCATTTAAAATTAGAGGGCTGAAACACTAGCTCTGAAGATTCTCCAAAATGGGGGAAGCCCAGGTCCTTGTCTAAATTTCATGCTTTAAGAGACTAAAGCAAGTCCCCGGAACTGAACATCCCCTGAATTTTGAGGCATGTCAGATCTGGGTTTAAAACGTTGTGTCTGGGACACCATCCCTGTCAAAAGCTTTATTTAAAAAAAAGGGACATCTCCCAATTTATTTATGGGGATAAAGAACTTCTTAGTGTCAACTTTCAGAATGCTGGGCTCAGCCAAATGCATGCAGTTACCTTTTAAGTAACTTCATGGAGGGGAAATATAACACAGTCACCATTAGCTTTTTACTAGCTGAGTTCGTGTCTCTCTCTCTTGCATTGTCCTCTGCTAAGGTAAAATTTTACTCTTGGTTGCAGTGTATGACTGCCACACAAGTCACGGACTTATATCCAAAACGATAATCAAGGGGAAATTGGATTGTAGCAGAGAAGTTTTGTAGATTTCACGTCCAGATTAATTTGCATGATTTTTATGCAGCTTGATTAAATATAAGGAGCAATATTCTTCCTTTGACTAACTTGTGGAAAATCCATTAACATATATGGCTTTTTGGACCAGATCCTGAACCGATATAAATAATGAAGTCAACAGAGCGAAGATCGGTTACATTGGCTGAACATCCAGCCCTTTAGGTCTAAGCTACACAGCTATTTTCTTTATTTGTTACATTTTCTTGTATCCAGATGTGTTTCTCGTTGATTTGAAAAATTAAAAAGTTAAAAATTTAGATGAAAAAGAGTGAAAAAAACCTGCAAAATTTTTAAATGGATTTTACCCCCTGTATTTACAAATTACTTTTTTAAACCACCTTTATATCTATTCTAAAATCTCCTAGTATTTGGGAATTTTGATAAAAATCAGCTAAGAGATTCTTGTAAATTCTCCTGTGAACATTTTTGGGATTTTTTTTTTTTGCAGGAAATGTTAGCCACCTCTCATATTTACTGCTCTCCCAGATAACAAGGGAAATCCGTCCATTAAAGATCATAAAACAGTGAGCAAAAATTGCTTGTGATAATTCCTTCAGATTGAGTGATTTTGCTGTGTAACCAGGTTTGCCTTCCACGAACATTCGAGACCTTGAATTTACTAGTGCAAACCTGACAAAATGGGAATTTTAAACTCAATTACTTTAATCAGGAGGGAGTTTTACATTTTACATTCAGCTGTAAAATTTGCAATTGGGCTGTGTAGGCCCTAGTCCTACATGGGCTTAACTTTAAGCACTCATTGATTTAGAACTAAGCTTATGGATGAGTGTTTACAGGATTGGAACCATAGTTATATATTATATTATATTATATTATATTATATTATATTATATTATCTGTTCAATGGTCATGGTTCAATGGATTTAGGATCTGGTCCTTAGTTATATACACAGCTGTTTATGTATCATAATTAGGGCTGTTGATTAACTGCAGTTAACTCACATGATTAACTCAAAAAATTAATCGCGATTAAAAACATTAATCATGATGAATCAGAGTTTGAATCGCACTGTTACACAATAGAATACCAATTGAAATGTATTAAATATTTTGGATGTTTTTCTACATTTTTAAATATATTGATTTCAGTTACAACACAGAATACAAAGTGTACAGTGCTTACTTTATATTATTATTTTTATTACAAATATTTTCACTGTAAAAATTATAAAATAAATGGTATTTTTAAATTCACCTCATACAAGTTCTGCAATGCAATTCTTTACTGTGAAAGTGCAATTTACAAATGTAGATTTTATTTGTTACATAACTGCACTCAAAAAACAAAACAATGTAAAACTTTAGAGCCTACAAGTCCACTCAGTCCTACTTCTTCTTTAGCCAATCTCTCAGACAAACAAGTTTCTTTACATTTACAGGAGATAATGCTGCCTACTTCTTATTTACAACGTCACCTGAAAGTGAGAACAGGTGTTCGCATGGCACTTTTGTAGCCAGCATTGCAAGGTATTTACATGCCAGATATGCTAAACATTCATATGCCCCTTAATGCTTTGGCCACCATTCCACAGGACATGCTTCCATGCTGATGACACTCGTTAAAAAAATAATGCGTTAATTACTTAGTGACTGAACTCCTCGGGGGAGAATAGTACTGGTATGTCACCTGCTCTGTTTTACTCACATTGTGCCATATATTTCATGTTATAGCAGTCTCGGATGATGACCCAGCACATGTTGTTTGTTTTAAGAAGACTTTCACAGCAGATTTGACAAAACGCAAAGAAGGTACCAATGTGAGATTTCTAAAGATATCTACAGCACTCAAACCAAGGTTTAAGAATCTGAAGTGCCTTCCAAAATCTGAGAGGGGCGAGGTGTGGCGCATGCTTTCAAAAGTCTTAAAAGGGCAACACTCTGATGCGGAAACTACAGAATCCAAACCACCAAAAAAGAAAATCAACCTTCTGCAGGTGGCATCTGACTCAGATGATGAAAATGAACATGCTTCAGTCCACTCTGCTTTGGATCATTATCGAGCAGAACCCGTCATCAGCATGGACGCATGTCCTCTGGAAGGGTGGTTGAATATGAAAAGACATATGAATCTTTAGCGCATCTGGCACTCAAATATCTTGTGATGCCAGCTACAACAGTGCCATGCGAATGCCTGTTCTCACTTTCAGGTGACATTGTAAATAAGAAGCGGGAAGCATTATCTCCTGCAAATGTAAACAAACTTGCTTGAGCGATTGGCTGAACAAGAAATAGGACTGAGTGGGCTTGTAGGCGCTAAAGTTTTACATTGTTTTGTTTTTGAAGGCAATTTTTTTGTACATAATTCTACATTTGTAAGTTCAACTTTCATGATAAAGAGATTGCACTACAGTATTTGTATGAGGTGAATTGAAAAATACTATTTCTTTCATTTTTTACAGTGCAAGTATTTGTAATAAAAAAATAAATATAAAGTGAGCACTGTACACTTTGTAATTTAAATCAATATACTTGAAAATGTAGAAAAAAACCAAAATATTTAAAAAAATGGGATTCTATTCTTAACAGTGCAATTAATTTTTTTAATTGTGCGATTAATCACAATTATTTTTTTAATCGCTTGACAGCCCTAATCATAATTGTACATTTGTATTAAAGCGGGTGAGGGATATTTTTCAAATGTTGACATTTCAGCAAAAAATTTAAAAAAAACAACCCCACACCTTTCAACAAAATATTTACAAAAAAATGTCCCTTCTTTTTTGACTAACTATGGGGCTGGCTAACTTTTTTCAAGATGGGCAAACTTTTTCCAAATTTCCAAATTTTACAGTGTATTAAATTAGTTTTTAAAGGAAAGCATTTTTGAAAATTTGCCCATGCAATTCTTCCCCATGTGTTGAACAGCACTAATTTATATTTTATCATTTATTTGTTTATTTATTTATGATGGTGTCTCAGACCAGGACCTCCTTGTGCAAGGCGCTGCACATAAACAGAACAAAAAGACTGCCCCACCCCAAACACCTCAAAATCCAAGTAATATATAACTATTTCTTTTATTTCATTGTGACACCTTAAGATGGCTACTCTGTATGTGTCACAGCTGCTGACTGGAACTGTATTGCATGGGCTCCATACTGCTGAGAGGTAATAGTCGTCCTCCTTTAGGTCAAGTGGCAGGAGGAGTCTTTGCTTTAGAAGGAAGAAGCAATCCTGTTGCCACCAAAAAATCCCAAGTAGCCACAATGTGTAGCCACATGACACTGATGACGTTTCTATATGGCACAGATTAGTTACAACATTTAAAGGGGCTGTGTCAGCTAATTTCAGGCCCAAAATTTGGATTTACAAAAACAAAGGGGAAAGGTCCTAGTATGACTAGAAATATTAATAGGTTTCATATCCGAAGAAGTGGGCTGTAGTCCACGAAAGCTTATGCTCTAATAAATCTATTCATCTCTAAGGTGCCACAAGTACTCCTGTTCTTTTTAGAAATATTAATGTTTCAGTTCAGACAGTTTTTGGCTGAAAGGGGCCAGGAATTTCCCCATTCCCCTGTAGTGCTGGGAGCCTAGGTCCGACCACTTTGTTCTAACTCACACGGCCCAGAAAATGAAAGTAGTTGTGCGAGGACACTGTCTCTTTTAAAAGTCAGTGTGATAGGAGCAAACATTTGCATGCAACAAGTCGCTGCAAATTGGAGTACTTGTAAAACTGCTCAGACCCACTGATGATTAACCCTTAAATATCTGGGTCACAGTTTAAGTACACTGCCAGCATTCTGTGCATGCTTTCTGGCAGCTGCTGCAAGACAAAATGAGGCCATTGTTTCCCCTTAAAGCTAAGAACGAGGGGGGAATAAGCTTGGAATTTTAATCAATTGCTAAAACAAACAAAAGCCAGTTAGGTAACCGACTACCTGAGCCTAACCAAAATCCTGAATCTAATCTCAGTTACGGTGGAGTGGAATCAGGAATGCCTCTGCGTTTGCAGTGGTATAAATGAAGATCAGAATTTGCCCCTTGGAGTTGTGACTGTATTGGGTAATTCATTACTCGGGGTCTCATTATCCCCAGCAGTCAGTGGGTTTGGACAGGGTAGAGATGTGGGGACCTGGTGAAACACTTGCTGGAGTCCATGAGGCAGATTCTGCTGTCAGTTTTGCAGGTGTAAATTTGGAGAAACTTCCCTGACATGGAGTGCGTCAAGCTGCCCTGCAGTGAATAACGTAGCTGAAGTCGAAGTACCTTAGTTCGAACTTAAAGGTACTTAACAAAGGTCCACATGCGGCAGGCAGGCTCCCCCGTCGACTCCGCGTACTCGACGGCGAGCACTTCCGGAATCGATCCCAGAAGATCGATTGCTTACCGCCAAACCCGGAGGTAAGTATAGACGTACCCTTAGATTTCACCAGCCAGTTATCGAGTGTAAACCCCTCAGGCGCTGTAGCAGCGTTAACTTGGAGTGTCCCCTTGGGTACTCCAGTCTGTCCTGCCCCCCAGGGGAGCTTGCCTGTGTGATAGCTGGTACCTTACACCAAGAATCACAGCAATATTCAGGTTACTCCCAGTCCCAAAGGACCAGTCACTTACCACAGGTCCATGGCGCTTTATACCTCACACCAAAGACAAATTGTAGCAAATCCTATAATAAACTGTCTACAGATTTATAATGCAGGAAAAGGAACCAAGAGAGTTATGCGCAAGGTTAAAGCAGGTAAACGTAGATACACACAAATGAGTCCCAATCCTAAATTTCAAAAAGTAATAGGAGCGTCTATGATACGCAAGCTCTGTGCGGCCTTTAGGGCTAACCCAGGCCAAGCACTGGGGTTCTCTTGCTTATGCCTCGGACTCCTGCCCCCCCAGAGTCCCAGTAGCATAAAGATCTAATGCCCCGTTGTTAGGGGTTTTTAGTCCCTTGCCCCTTCCGCTCTGCTCTGCAAACTCAGCTGGTGGGAGGAATTCACTCGCGAGCCTCATCTTCATGAGGTGGGGCATAAACAACAAAGGCTTTTGTCCTCTTTAATGTTCCACTCTAGTTCATCTGGTGCGGCTGGGCCTTCCTTGTCGGGCAGGCCAGAACACTGCCTGCCGGAGATCATCATTTCACACTAGTTAATGTCTCTCTCCTGTCGGGTGATTTATACAGTTACAGAGGCTCACGATACAACGGCTCAAATGTTCCCTTACAATATGGGACACGGATGTGATACGGGGGAATTAATGCCGGCAGCAACTCACCATAAAGTCTAAACACTAAACACATTCTTATCACCTATTTTAACAATTCTACCACACAGGCAACCAGACTGGATCCAGCTCTGTATTTGTCAGAACTCAGTGGAGACACGGACACCTTGGCACAAGCTGGCACCTCACTGCCAGCGTCACAGAGGGAGTTACGCCCGAGATACACCAACAGAAGTAACAGAAGAAGCAGGCCCGATAGGAGCTATGCCTGGATAAGGATGCAAGGCTTTGGGGCTCTGCAAAGCCCATTTAAATCAATAGAAAGACGCCGCTTGCTCTGGCCTTTGGATCAGCGCCTGAAGACTGTGCACAAGCGAAACAAACCCAGAATTCCCATACGGACCATGGCTAGAGAGTAACGTTCGGACCTGATCCTGCAAACAGACGAGTAACTTTACTAGTGCGTTGTAGTTCCATTGGAGCCAATAGAACAGCCCCCCTGCCGCCAATCAGCTTTGTATCAGACACTTGGCCTGTTAGGAAAGTGTTTCTCCAACTGTTCGTTTGCAAGAGAAAATTTGTGCTGGAATTTAAAAGAAAATGTTTTAGGGGAACTGTAAAAATTATATTAGTTTCCAAAAATTAGCCCCATATTCCGATGATGGATGAAAACAAAACATCATATGAAAAAGTAGCATTAATATAAATGTACTTTCTGTGGGAAAACTTTAGCAACTTACATAATCAATTGCCAGCATATTTCTGTAGCTAAATCCAATTACTACAGACAAATTGGCATGAATATTCGTCTTCCAAACCTTTCAGTAAACACAAAGGGCTTTTCTTCTTCTTCTATTAGAATTAGAAAAAGCACAGAGAAGGGCCACAAACATGATCGGGGCATGGAACAGCTTCCATATGAGGAGAGATTAATAAGATTGGGACTGTTCAGCTTAGAAAAGAGACAACAAAGGGGGGATATGATAGAGGACTATAAAAACATCCATGGTGTGAAAAAAGAGAATACAGATGTGTTATTTGCGTCTTCTCATAACACAAGAACCAGCGGTCACCCAATGAAATTAATAGGCAGCAGGTTTAAAACAAACAAAAGGAAGTATTTCTTCACACAACACACAGTCAACCTGTGGAACTCATTGCCAGGGGATGTTGTGAAGGCCAAAAATATAACTGGGTTCAAAAAAGAATTAGATCAGTGGATGGATGATTGGTCCATTAAGGGCTATTAGCCAAGATGGTCAGGGATGCAACCCCATGTTCTGGGTGTCCCTAAACCTCCAACTGCCAGAAGCTTGGACTGGATGACAGGCAGCGCTTAATTCATGCCAGGGCTGAGCCCCGGCACCTCTGGGCCTGGCAGTTCAGAGCCCGTCACCTCTAGGCCTGGCGGTTCATAGACCTGGCATCTCTGGGCCTGGCAGGGCAGAGCCCCAGCACCTCTGGGCCTGGCAGTTCAGAGCCCAGCACCTCTGGGCCTGGCATTTCGTAGCCCCTGAACCTCTGGGCCTGGCAGTTCATAGCTCCAGCACCTCTGGGCCTGGAAGTTCAGAGCCCCGGCACCTCTGGGCCTCGCAGTTCAGAGCCCCGGCACCTCTGGGCCTGGCGGTTCAGAGCCCCGGCACCTCTGGGCCTGGCGGTTCAGAGCCCCGGCACCTCTGGGCCCGGCCGGTCAGAGCGCCAGCACCTCCG